TCTCTCTCTCTCTCTCTCTCTCTCTCTCTCTGTGTGTGTGTGTGTGTGTGTGTGTGTGTGTGTGTGTGTGTGTGTGTGTGTGTGTGTGTGTGTTCGCCTACAGATACGAATGTACAGACCTTTATAGATCAGGACAAAACAGCGTCAGATGTACCATCGGAGGAAGCAGAGAGAAGGCGGAGAAAACAGGGGTTCGTCGTTTAAGTTTTAACGCAAGTTCTTTTCCTTGAAATTCAACCGACGGATAAGGACGTTGCATGTTACAGTGATTGTAACATGCACACCTTTTCTCGATGATGAGCATACCTGCGACGGACTCCATGTGATGTAGCAAGCATAACTTTCTATCTACGTGCATTCATCCCTGCATAAAGGGGTATAATATCGCAATACATCTATCTACGTTCGTATGTATACATACATACGTGTATATATAGTGCTTTTAGGTGGGAATCGTCATCTGGGATTGTCTTTATATATATTTTTTGCAGGCAAGGGTGTTGATTGATATCCTGGTTGGCCATTGTCCCGTAGCATGGCCTGTGACGTAGGGGGCGGTGCTTGCATGTGGGACTTGTCATCTAGGATCTGTTATGTTTTTTTTTTGGCACCCTTGTCTGCATCCCGGTTGGTTTTGTCCCGTTGTTCGGTTTATTTTGGCGCGCGTAGCGGTGCTTTCATGTGGAACCAGTCATCCGGTTTTTTTTTTGGTTTTTTTTTTTTTGTGTTGTTGTTGTTGTTCGGCCTATGAGAGCATGAATGGTTTAGGAATGGGAATACCAACGTCTTGATGATGACGAACAAGGCCGTTTGCTGTATATAGATATGTACTTGGGATTTCTTTTTGTGCAGGCAAGAGTGTTTTGATATGCTGGTTGGTCTTGTTCCGTTGTTTGGCCTACGAAGTTGGGGGGCGCGCTAACATGTGGGGCTTGTCATCCAGGATCTTGTCGCCCCCTGTTTTGTTATAGTATTTGGCTGTTCCCTTCCTCTTTTCTTTGCCTCTTTGCCTTTTGGCTGTGTGCAAGTGGGTCGATATGCCACATGGGGGTGGGGGCAGCCGCTGCTCAACCTACATCCACGTGGGCGGCGTTGTACCCAAGAGATTCTGAACAGGGGGAGTTGTAAGGAAGAAGATAGAAACATGAATTCATTTTTTTATTTTTTTCTTCGCTTTTGCGCTCTGATAACTTTGTGACCAATCACAGCCCCTCGTTTGTTGTCCTCTTCTCCCTCTCTGCCTACGGTTTACCGGGCAGTTCTATTTGACGATATATATATATATATAGGCCAAATTGCAGATATACCGGTTTTCAAACTTATCGTAGGGGGCGATGGGAAGTTGTGGATGACCAGTGCTGGAGGTGCTCATGTCCAGTCGGTGATTTTGGAACACGACCCTCTGTGTTCGGAAGGCGAACATGGCTATTTGATCATCATCACTAGTGCAAGCCTTCTGTGCATGTGCTTCCAGAATATGCTTGGTGTCCTCCTTGATCATCATCACTAGTGCAAGCCTTCTGTGCATGCGGTTTGCCGTTATGATTTCTCCTTGAACGTAGAGTTTTCTTTTTTAATGATTAATGTGTGGATAAGTACTGTGTCGCCAATCGCTCCACTTGGAGGGCTGGAGGTCCGATGGGCTCCATTCAAGAGGAGCGATTTGAGAATCTCGGCCGAAGATAAAAGTCCGAGATGTTGGCCACTGAGAGGACGATTTTTGTGTGGGATTTTTGTCGAGAGCAAGCCTGTAAACATGCTGCTGGAAATTGGCGAGCGCTCTTGATGCTGTTGCATGGAGTCTGGGACCTTCAACTTGGTGTTTAGATTTTTAGGAGACGCGTGATGCCTATCTCATCGCCATCAGAGCAGTTATGTAGGTGTGGTGTGACTAGACGCAGTGAAATCGATTGAAGACGTTGAAGTTCGTGTTTGGTGTGTTGCTGAGTACGTGATGAACGGAGAGACGTCCGGTGAGAGAATTGTATAGAGAGCCAGAAGGATGATAAAATTCCGAGAAGTGTGACTGGTATTCGTTTCCGAGAAAGGTGCGGTATATACATGACGTGTTTTGTTTGTCAGCAGACATGATGGTAGTGTGAGGTCGGTGTAGCTGATCGCTCTGCGATTTTGGATATTACGATGCAGTTTTCTTGTCGAAGTTGATCGCTCTGGCAGTTTTCTCGAATTTCGAATCTGCGAGAGAGAGAGAGAGAGAGGGGGGGGGGGGGGGGGAACTTATCGTAGGTAAATCGTAGCAACTTTACCCGTCCGCGGACGTATTGTGAGAAAAAGCCGCGTCTGCGAGCAGCGCAGCCTTTTTTTAGGTGTATCTAAGCAGAGTTATAGATACACACACACACACACACACACACACACACACACATATATATACTTCTGATATCCTGTGACAAAATATATATCTATATATAGTCGTATATATATATATCGTATATATCGTCAAATAGAACTGCCCGGTAAACCGTAGGCAGAGAGGGAGAAGAGGACATATATATATATATATATATACAGGGATATACAACGAGATGACGTTGTGCTCAGTATCATCAGGCGCTCGCGCTTTTTCTCCGCCATTACATGCGACGTTGGGATTCCTTGCATGTATCCTCGCGACTACCATCATGATCGGTTTGGACTCCGAGCCGCCGCCGATGGTCAGCGCGGATGTGGAAGCGTGCACGTGGTCTTCTTCGAACGACCGCGAGCTGCAGAATAGAGGAAGCCGCGGCTATGGTGGACAAACCGGTGAACTTGCGACCGCAGCTATGGTGGAAACGAGCGCCGCTTTGACATGGAAGGACGAGAACGACAACAGCGATGAAGAATCGCCAGCGTGGTCGTCGTTGAACCGTCGGGAGCTGCAGAAGAGAGGACGGGGAGGCTATGACGAAGAAGACGGTGCATTCGAAACCACGGCTATGGCGGAAACGAGCATCCGTCGTCGACAGCTGCAAAGGCAAACGAGGCTGCAGCAGAGCAGCAGCAGCAGCAGCAGTGAATGCGAGTCGGTCGTCCAAGTTTTAGATCGGGCACGCGTGCTGACGTGTGGCCAGGATTTGCTTGCTAATTTCGAAGAGGCCAATCGTATGGAAGTGATAGACCTGGGTATCAATCTGGATCCGGATGGCCGGGAAGCGATATTCTTTCTGTCGGACGGGCGTCTCTGGAGGCTAAACATTTCCACGGCGGGCGGCGCGAACGGTGCTCAACGGAGTGCCGCCAGCGATTCATCACCCACTCGCTCTCCCCCTCCCACTCCCACTCTCCTCCATGGCCCTTGGTCGAACGAGAGCGGAGCACTTCGATCGGTGGCTATAGTTGATCGGCAAGTGGACGGCCAGAAGAACACGAGGAGAACGATTTTCGTTGACGACACAGTAAATTTTTCCCTTCGTGCGTTCTCGATCGACGGCTTGGACCCGCCTTTTGAAGGCGTGCTCAATTACAGTGGCAGGACTGGCAGGGTGCGACTGTTTAGCCTTGCTAGCTACTCCAAAGGCCACCTCTTGTACGGTACCTCGGACTCGGCGATTTACCGGCTTAATCTGACGTGGCAAAGCGACAAAGAAGCGATCCCTGCGGGAGACCAGCAGCAGTCCCAGCAGCTGCCGGATCTGGAACTCTGGCTGGGATCCGGTCCGGAAGTGAGTGGCCGAGGCGGCGTGAACTTGACTAGACCGTACCTCGGTACGACTGCCATCACCTCGGACGGGGAAGTTATGTATGTCGCCGAGAAGACAGTGCATACCGTCAGCCGACTCCTAGTGTCCAGCGGGCTCATGGAGAAAATTGCGGGAGTGTATAATCAGAGCGGCTATATGGATGGCCCTGCTTTGCGCGCAACGTTCACAGAGCCCATCGCGTTAGCATTGGCATCCGACGAGTGTAATCTCTTCGTTGGCCAGTTGGGTGGTGGAATACGGCTCGTCACCTTCAATGGGACCACCACCAGTGTTCGGACGCTTCTCAGTATGAGCACGAATGTGATGTCCTTGGCTATTCATCCCAACAACGAAGCACTCTACGTTGCCTCAACGGGGGGCATACTGTTGGAACTGGCCTTGAACAAATGGGTGCTGCCGATGTGCACTCCCCCTCCACGTGATTCTGTCCAAGCGAATTTGCCTCCCCTCTCCTCCTCCTCTGCTCCCTCTCCCTCTTCGTCCACCACCTTTCCCCCCTCCTCCTCCTCCCCCYCCCCCYCCCCCYCCCCCCCCCCMYCTGCCCGCGTCCTTATCATAGCGACGGTGCTGTCTCTGGTGCTTGTCGCAGTGGTGGCCGCGGCTGTGATGGCTTTACGGAGGAGGAGAGCGCACGATGGTGGCTCGTTGTGCTGTTGCTGGAGGCGGCTGGGGGGTGAACAAGGGGGGGACGACAAGCAGCCTGTGGTAAAGGAATCGCTCGCAGACGCACTCGATACCCCGTCTGCGGCGACGGAGGATGAGGAGGATGGTGCGTGGGATTCGTTTTGGAAGCAAAGCAATACCCTGGGAAAGAGTGCCGCTGAGTCCTCCCGCAGTTTTCCGCGGAAGTTGCGCCCGTCCGGTCTCCAGCGGTTCTCGTACGGACAGCTGGCGAGCGCCTGCGATGGGTTCCAATCGAGGAATCTGATTGGCAAAGGGGGATCAGCGGAAGTCTACAAGGGGGTGCTGTCGACGGGGGAAGTGGTGGCGATCAAACTGATGAAGGGTGGGGATTTGTCCAAGGCAAGTCTTCGGCAGTTTCAAGCGGAGCTCGACTTGCTCGGCACCATCCGCCATAGCCATCTCTGCAGTATTCTCGGCTTCTGCACGGAAGACGATGTGTCATTGATCGTCTATCCCTTCATTTCAGGAGGGAGCCTTCACGACCGTCTGCACAATTTGCCCCCCTCTCTCTTCTCTCCGTCCGCCGGCGATGGTGGATGGGATACGGGCGATTGGCAGCGGCGGCGGCGGCGGGGGGATGGGGCTGCAGATACCAACCCCACTGTCAGCAGCGACGGTACTATTAGTTGTAGTAGCAGTAGGAGTATGAGCAGCAGTCTCCTAGCGGGATCGCGATCACCACTGAGTTGGAAGCATCGCTTGTCTGTCGCCCTGCAGGTGGCGAAGGCTCTTCGGTTTCTTCATGAGGATCTGGACCCACCTGTTGTCCACAGGGATGTCAAGAGCAGAAACATATTGTTGGAGGGTGGCGGCGGCAGCAGCGGCCCTCTGAGGGCCTATCTGGCGGACTTTGGACTGGCCAAGCGAGGGCAGAGTGTCTTCGGCAAAATCCAGGCAGGGGAAACAGTGGAGACCTACCACGTGTCCGGGACCATCGGGTACATGGCGCCAGAGTACTTCAGGTATTGCCGACTCACGGCCAAGAACGACGTTTACGCGTTCGGGGTGGTGTTGCTCGAGCTCATCACCGGTAGAAAAGCCTTCGCCGCCACGACGGATGAGGACAGCAACAACAAAGACAACAACAACAACAACAACAAGGAGAAGGAGGAGGAGGTGGGAGAAGTTGGTGGTGATGCGGAGAAGGGGGGCGAGGAGAAGACGATGGAGCAGGATGAGGTGGTGTCGGAGACTCTGGCATCCTGGGTAATGGGAAAGCTGGCGACGTTGAACTCCCTGCCCCCGGAAAAGGGAGAAGGGGGCAGCATTTCACGCAGCCAGAGCTTGAAGAACCTCCAGGCTGTCAGATGGGTAATTGATGAGCGGATGGTGAAGACATCCGACGGCGGCGGGATTGATTGGCCCACGGCGAGCGGGATGCTCCAGGTGGCCATGGCGTGTATCAGGGAGGCGCCCGAGAAGCGTCCTCGGATGGTCGAGGTTGCGAACGAGCTTGTTCGATTGGAGGGAGGGGGGGGGAGAGCAGAAGCAGAAGCATGGGGGAATAGACGTCGAGAATCTAGTATTCGAGTGCAAAGTCCAGTCTGACACAGCTGTATGCAACACTCAGGCTCCTGAAGTCAGCGAACCAAGTACGTGGAGGTAGTAGATAAATACGCAGTGACTGTCGTCATTCATCTATGTACACTTGCGACCACGACCAAGACCCATGATGATGGCTGGTTGGCGGGCCAGCCGAAACTAGTTGGCAGCCAGAGGCTGTTTGCAGGGTGGTTTTGGGCTTTAGGAAAAGGTAAGAAGGGTGCGGTCGCGGCTAGGAGGACCCGTAGTGCGAGTGGTCGTGGAAGGCTTTGGGGGATGCACGTCCAAAGGGTTTTTTATGAGGTCGGTCGGGCGTGCGGTGGCGGCCAGGTTTCCTTTTTGGGCGGAGGGTCGGGGGTTGTACCGTGGCGGTTCCACTCTTTATTGCGTGCCAGTTCAGTTTTTCTTTTTTTTTTTCGCTTTGCTTTTTCTTCAAAGGGCGACGGTCTTGTCTTTCTTGACATACATTGGTCGAGGATGAGTTTCAATCTTTTTTTTTTTTTCAGCGTCGTTGATGATTCAATGCTGAGTTGCCGTTCCTTGGCGTCGTTGTACCGTGGCGGTTCCACTCTTTTTTGTGTGCCGGTTCGTTTGACTTCTTCCTTTTTTTTTTCGCTTTGTTTTTTCTTCAAAGGGTCGACGGCCTTGTGTTTGTTTGTTTGTTTGTTTGTTTGTTTTTTTTTTTTTTTTTGAAAGGAGCGACGGTCTTGTCTTTGTTGACATACATTGGTCGAGGATGAGTTTCAATCATTCTTTTTTTTTTTTTTAGCATCATTGACGATTCAATGCTGGGTTGGCTGTGCCTCCCCGATTACCCCTCCCCCTATGAACAGCAGCAGAGAGTCAGAGACTGGGCTGAAAAGGCCACCCGATGTCAGATTAGACACAATACTGAATTTACCTCGGCTGGTTAGTCAGATGATAATACCTGAAGGCCATCGCCCTTTCAAAATAAAAACGAGAATCCTTGGGTTGATTTTTTTTTTTTTTTTCAGTTCGTTTTGTTCTTCTTGCTTGGAGGTGTTCTGGAGGAATGGATTCTGGAGTGGATTCGAACTTGGGTCTGTAACCGAAGAGCGTAGCTCAGTGGGTATAGCAATGTGAAGTGTTGAAATACAGACCTGAGACCCGTGTTCGAATCCAGATGTGTTGAAATACAGACCCGTGTTCGAATCCAGATGATGCAAAACTTCAAGGGTTTTTTTGGGGGATGTCGGGGTTCTGGGGGGTGAACTGGATGATCGGGCGTCGTTGTATCGTGGCGGTTCCACTCTTTTTTGTGTGCCGCTTCAGTTTTTTTCCTTTTCTTTTTGGGAAAATTTGTCTGGCGCCCCTGTATTTTCCATTAATTTGCGTCGCGCTCCTCCGACATCCGATTTACCCTGCCACGCCCCTGGGCCTGAAAATCTTCCCGGCAGGCCCCCGTCGAGGCTGTCGGTACTGGGCGCAACATTCCAGGACGCCCTCCCTCAACTTGCGGTCCCATTCCATCGGGCTCTGCGCCATATGCCCTCGTAAGGGGCACCCGTCTTCCTGTGATGCCCCTGCAGCAGTGAGGCGGTGGAAATTTGAATTCAATTTCAAACGCCGTAGTTGTTGACGCGCCGCCGCCATTTCTCTTGACGCGCCGACGCTCGTGGAGGCCAACCTCCTGCTGGAAAACGGATC